AAAAAAAAAAAAAAAAAAAAACTAATTACTTTCGTATGTATAAAAAATAACCAGTCAAAAGTTCAGATAAATATAATGAAAAAAAAAGAAGATTCCATTCAAAATAACAAAAAGCTTAAAATATCTAAGCATATATTTAGGGACAACATATTTTTTTAAAAAGCTAATAAACTCTATGAAGGGTCATAAGAAGAGATTTCAATAAATGGAAAGAACTTCATTGTTCTTAGACTGAAGGATTCAATATTGCAAAGCTTTTACTAGACATTATTTATGATGTCTGCCAAATACACAGTCATTTTCTGAGAACTTTCCCCTTATAAAAAGTCTCCTGCAACCTTTACAGGCACTTGAATCAGAAAGAAAAAATTCATTGGTTGGCCAGTGACCACTTCAGTTATTTCTCCCAAAATTTAAACTAATAGACTTTAAAGCTGGTAGTTGAGATTAAGTCACCTAATAGCTAAGGCAGAGGACAGAAGTGATAGTCTAAATATTTCTGCCAGGTCCTTTACCCAGGTCCTTCATGATTTTTTACTCTTAATAAGGCTGGTTGTTCCCCTTCTACTCTAATTACATGACAAAGTCCTGTATGCATCCAGTAAACCCTTTTGAATTGGTTTGTATGTTATCTGAAATCAAATAATCCTCAAGGAAAATGTTCTGAAGTTCATCTGGAAAAATACATAAAAATACATAAAAATGACCAGAAAAATTAGGGAGGAAGCGGGTAAATAAGTACTGAGAAACACACAAGTGAACACATCAAAGGAACACAAACGAGTCCAGGATATATCGAGAAATATTACATATATATGGAATATATATTTTATACTTATATAAATATTATATATATATACACACACACACACGATAGATGCATGATAAGCATATGCTTTGACACTAGTGAGGAAAGATTCATTATTCAATAAGTGTTGTGGGGAAAATTGATTATATATTTGGGAGAAAAAAAACCTGGATCATTTTCCCGCTTCCGCACCAAATCTGCAGATAGATCAAAGATTTCAACATAAATAAATGAAACCATAGAAAGAAAACATCAGTGACTATTCTTATGATCTTGACATAAAGAAGGTTTTCCCAAGCATGGCATGAAAGCCAAAAACTATTTTTAAAAAAAGGTTGATAAAATTTTATTTTATCCTTTTTTTGAGGGGAGAAGAATGTCTCACATTTTACTTGGAAATAATTTCTATCCTAAAGAGAAGCTACAGGGTTTCCCTTGTGGCGCAGTGGTTGAGAGTCCACCTGCCGATGCAGGGCACATGGGTTTGTGCCCCGGTCCGGGAAGATCCCACATGCCGCGGAGCGACTGGGCCCATGAGCCGTGGCCACTGAGCCTGCGCGTCCGGAGCCTGTTGCTCCGCAACGGGAGAGGCCACAGCAGTGAGAGGCCCACATAGCGCAGAAAAAAAAAAAAGAGAAGCTACAAGAATACAAAGGAAGTCACATATACCCTTCACTCATATTCATCATTGTTAACATTGTGCTACATTTGCATTATTCTCTCTGTCTCTGTCTTGTCTGTCTCTCTTTCTCTTTCTCTCTCTCTCTCCCACACACACACACAAAACACAATGATACACACCCACCTAGACATACCATTCTGAACCATTTGAGAACAAGTGCCTTTACCCGTGAATACTTCAGTATATATTCCTAGGTACAAAAACATTATCTTCACAACCATAATTAAATTATCAAAATCCGAAAACTTAACATTGACACAGTTTTATTGTACAATCTACATTCCATATTCAAATTTTGCCAATTGTCTCAATAATGTCATTTATAGCATTTTTTTCTGGTCCAGAATTTAATCCAGTATAACATAGTACATGTAGCTGTCATGGCTCTTTAGATTTTTTTTGAACTGTGTAGGCTAACTGTTTTACAGAACGTCTCTCAATTCTTGTTTGCCTCATATTTTCTCACGGTTAAATTCAAGTTTTGTACGTTTGGCAAGAATATTACACAAATGATATTATGTCTCTCTTAGTGCCTTATATCAGGAGGATCATAGTGTCTCATTATTGATGTTAATTTTCATCCCTTGGTTAAGGTACTATCTGCCAACTTTCTCCACTATAAAGTTACTACTATTCTTTTTGTAATTTGTGGCAAGATACTTTGAGATTGTGCAAATATTTTGTTCCGCATTAAATTTTTATCTAATAGTTTTAGTATCCATTGGTGATCATAAGCATTTTAACCCGTGAAAAAAGTTAAAGACAAACTGAGGAATATTTTCAATATACATGAAAAAGAGTAAATATCCATAATATCCAAAATGTTCTTTCAAATCAATAAGGTAACAGCTACACCCCAACAGAAACTAGTAAAGGGCTTTAAAAGGCAGTTCATAAAATAAAAAATCAAATTGGTTAATAAATGCACGAAACATGTTAAACATTATTAAGAAACAGAATTTAAAATATGAGAAAATTTTCTTTTTGCCTACCAAATTGGCATAAATTCAAGGAATTAAAATCCACTATTAATGCTGATGGAAATAAGATAACCCTCTTATGCACTGCTGATAGGAGTATATATTAAATAATCTGTCTGAAAAGTGTTTAGCATGTTTCCAAAAAAAAAAAAAAGAATGTGCATGTATACTTTGATCCAGAAATTCCACTTAATACACTTATGATAATACACTTAGTAACAGAAAATTGAGAATAAATGACCCTTTTTTTTAACATCTTTATTGGAGTATAACTGCTTTACAATGGTGTGTTAGTTTCTGCTGTATAACAAAGTGAATCAGCTATATGTATACACATATCCCCATATCCCCTTCCTCTTGCGTCTCCCTCCCTCGCTCCCTCCCTCCCTATCCCACCCTTCTAGTGGGACACAAAGCACCGAAATGACCTCCCTGTGCTATGTAGCTGCTTCCCACTAGCTATCTATTTTACATTTGGTAGTGTATATATGTCAATGCCACTCTCCCACTTCGTCCCAGCTTACCCTTCCCCCTCCCTGTGTCCTCAAGTCCATTTTCTACATCTGCATCTCTGAGAATAAATGACCGTTAATTGACATTCATTCAATGAATTATCAATACTCTGCAGCCATTTAATAAATTCTACAGCGTTTCAAGAGAAGGTGGCTTGCAAAATCTTATACCCACCCAATTTGTTTTCGAACGTAAAGGCAACAGACAATTCCAAAATTTAAAAGTTCAGAGTATAAAGCCCCCATGACTTCCTCTCGAAAATAATTCCTTGACAGTGAAATTCAGCCAAGCAAAAAATGAATCAAAATAAAGAACTCAGAAATTTAGAAATCAAAGAGGAATAACTATAATGAACAGTGAATTCATATAAATATAGGATTTAAACTGAATATCTGAGGGAATTATGGTTGCAGATCAAAATGTAAAAGTAATAAACCCTTAAAAAGGAAAATACATCAGCAACAAAAATTAGAAGGTAGGGCGAGGGAAAATGGGAAGAGATGTGGTATTAATCACCTTATTATTCATATCTCAGAGTTCATCTTCATTACCCTAAACCTGAACCATTTAGTAAAAAAATAACTATTCCAACTTTGTAGTAACTTTTAAATCCCCTTTCTTAATCTTGGAGGACTCCTTTAGAACTGATATCTCTAACAGTAAAGAAATAATTATTTAAATTCTGTAATTCCTTCAGTTTCCCTTCTTTTTATCCTATTAAATTCAACTAAAATTAATATTTTATATTATATTTAATATTTTCTTCAAATAGTGCATGTGACCTAAGATCCATTTCTTACAAAGTTATTTCTACTATCTAATTATCCATCCTTCTATCTGTAGCTATTCACAGAAAGATGA